AATGGCGGCTGGGATTACCTCTGCTCTGCTAGGGTTTCTGCAAGATGGGTGGTGCAAGTGTTGAAGGTGTAGTTGTTTTCAAGATTTGCTGGACAAATTTTCCTGTTTGTTGTGTCTTGAAGTGATCTTTTGTCTCTTCCCTATATTAGATAGCTCCGCTTTGATGTTTTGAGAGGTTGCCTCCCTTTAAAGGCCCTCTTTTTCCTCATTGTAATTGGTTTCCTTTATTTTAATGAATTAGAGCTTGGCTCCTTATAAAGAATATATATATATATATATATACATATATAAAGGAAAAGAGCAACTAAGGCTCCTTACATGTTAATAAAGAACCAAATGGGGATTACAAGAGTTGGAGAGATATACCCTCCCAAAAGCTGAAAATTAAATAGGGAACACATGATGCTCATGTATCTGTATGGACACATAAACAAAAATTACACACAAGGATCAGCAGTAAAGCCTAAAACTATGTAACTCAATACCTTCCCTCAAAGGATCTACCTCCCATAGCAGTTGCATACATTTGATATAGGGGAGTGCCAAATTGTCACCAATCAGCAGGTGTCATCCCAACAAAAATATGTTCAATATTTCTACCCTGGGAGGCAAGCCAATGAGCTGGACAATTACCCTCTCTAGGAATATAATTGATATTGGTCATATATCTGGGTTGTAGGGCAACTAACAGATTATTCCATTTGGTTAAATTCCAAGGGGGGTTTCATCATGAAGAAGGATTTTAATACAATTAGTAGAATCTGTTTCTATAATCAAAGGACCCATATGGCAGTAACAAGCAATTCTGATAGCCCAGTAGATAGCTATAAATTTAGCCTCCATAGCATTCATTGCCACAGTAGGAGTAGTGAAATACACAATGGGAGAACCATGAGAGTTCCTGAAGATTCCCCCAATACCAGTCGACCATTTAAGAAGCTGCCATCAGTGTTGAACTTCAACCAACCAGTAGAGGGAGGGCTCCAGAGGATTAGTTGGAAAGACTGAAAAAGAGGGGTATTGTTTCCTGGAGTCTAGTGCTTTATAACATTATGGAAATGATGAAACTTGATCAATTTCTGAATATAAGAGATACAATTAATAATCACAGATGAAACTTCTCAGCAAATTTGCTGTGGTTTTTGTACATCCATATGAACCAAGCCACAATACTGGGTATCACCCAAAGGTTTTTGTTATGCCATTCTTCCAAGCTAGTAGAGAATTTAAGCCAGTTTACATTGTGACTAATAATATTCAGGAGCTTGATTAAACTTGACCAAATTTCTTATGAGATGGAACATGAGAAAAATAGGTGATCCAAGGTTTCTTCAGCAGCATAGCAAAGTGGGCAGATTGATATCCCTCTCAGCCCTTTCATCTTTAATATATCATCTGTAGGAAGTAAGGAATGCCAGAGTCTCCAGCAGAAGGACATAGAGGGAGTTAAGAATTTACCCCAAATGGCTTTACACCAAGGCATCTGATTCCATTTAAAGAAATGATGGTAAATGTAGGCTGATAATTTCTGGGAGTAAGCCTGTTTAGTAATTATTTTGTCTTTGGAAATGGATGAGATAGGAGTATCCTTAACCCACCTCACATGTTCACTCGAAAGAATAGTGTTCAACAGTCTGCAGTTCCACTGATTATCAGACCAATAATCTCTGACAAGACAATTAGTGTTGGGATTGGGGGTGAGGCACTCAAGTTTCTCTCCATTGTTGACCCAGTTATCTAACCAAAAGTTGATATGCCCATCTCCTAGCTCCCAAAGGAAGAGTTCCTCAGCTTTATTTCTAATTTTCAGCAGCTTTGTCCATAGTTTGGAATCCCCCATCCTTTTGGATACCAAAGTAGGGTGCAAA